CCCCCTCAACTCTACCTTCTCCTGCAGGCTGTGGGCATGTTTCTGGGTGAATTTTCCTGCCTGGGAGTGTTTTACCTGTTAGTGTGCAGGGATAGGCGGAGGCCGGAGCCCAGCATGGCCCCATCGCAGCCCTTCAACCCACTGCTCTTCCTGCCCCCTGCCCTCTGCGACATGACGGGAACCAGCATCATGTATGTGGGTAAGTGCTGGGGACAGGGACACTGCCTCTGTCCCCCCTGTGGGAACGTGGCCATCCCTGGAGGCCGCTGTCAGGCTGCAGGAGGGACTTTTTGTAAGGGATTTAGTGACAAGATGAGGGGGAACGGTTTCAAGCTGAAAGAGGGGAGATTAAGATGGAATCTGAAGAAGAAATTCTTTGTTGTGAGGGTGGTGAGACACTGGCCCAGGTTGCCCAGAGAATCTGTGGCTGCCCCATCCCTGGAAGTGTTGAAGCCAGATTGGATGGGGCTTGGAGCAACCTGGTCTGGTGGGAGGTGTCTCTGCCCATGGCAGGGGGTTGGAACTAGATGATCTTTAAGGTTCCTTCCAACTCAAACCATTCAATTATTCCATTATCTGTTCTCTCCCCATGTAGCCTTGAACATGACAAGTGCCTCCAGCTTCCAGATGCTGCGAGGGTCTGTCATCATCTTCACTGGGCTCCTCTCCGTGGCCTTCCTGGGCCGCAAACTAGAGCTGAGCCAGTGGCTGGGCATCCTGGTCACCATTGTGGGGTTGGTGGTGGTGGGGCTGGCTGACCTGCACAGCACCCATGATCAGAAACACAAGCTCAGCGAGGTGATAACTGGTATGTGGTTGCCATTGGGGGAGGCAGGATGGTCATTGGGGGTGGGGGGAGAGGGAATAATCTCCCACAGGGCTTGTTATGGGCAATCTGGGCATGGCTCTGCTGCACTGCCCCTCTGGTGGGCTGTGTAACAGGAGCTCAGCCTCTCCTTCTTCTCCCCCTGCTCCTCTTCTCCCCCTTGTCCCCTCCATTCTCCCCCATCTCTCTCCCCACCCCCAGGTGATCTCCTCATCGTCATGGCACAGGTGGTTGTTGCCATCCAGATGGTGCTGGAGGAGAAGTTTGTCTACAAGCATGATGTGCACCCGCTGCAGGCTGTCGGCACTGAAGGTCTGTCACGACGTCTGTCACAGCATCACCGGGGGGGCAGATCCCCCAAACCCAGCCGGGGGAGGGCTACTGTGTGCAGGGGAGCAGGGGGTCACTGCAGGCTGCACAGGGGGTGCTGCTGAGGGTAGATGTGAAGTACCATGGGGCAGGAACGGGTAACAGGCAGCACCCATGTACAGGAAGGACAATGAGAGGCTGAAGCATGTCCCAAGGAGGGCAAAGGAGCTGGGGCAGGGTCTGGAGCACAAGTCTGAGGGAGCTGGGGGTGTTCAGCCTGGAGAAAAGGAGGCTGAGGGGAGACCTCGTTCTCTACGACTCCTTGAAAGGATGTTGGAGCCCAGGGAGGTGAGTCTCTTCTCCTAAGGAACAAGTGATTGGACAAAAGGAAATGGCTTCAAGTTGTGGCAGGGGAGGGTTAGATTGGATATTGGGAACAATTTCTTCCTGGCAAGGGTTGTCAGGCCCTGGCCCAGGCTGCCCAGGGCAGTGGTGGAGTCCCCATCCCTGGAGGGATTTCAAAGCCCTGTAGCTGTGGTGCTGAGGGACATGGTTTAGTGGTGGCCTTGGCAGTGCTGGGTTAAGGGTTGAACTGGGTGATTCTTGAAGGTCTTTTCCAACCAGAATGATCCTGTGATGTCCCACCCAGGTTTCTTTGGTTTTATCATCCTCGCCCTGCTGCTGGTGCCCATGTACTACATCCCAGCAGGAAGCTTCAGCGGGAATCCACGCCAGACGTTGGAAGATGCCTTGGATGCCTTCTGCCAGATCGGCCACCGTCCCCTTATTGCCCTGGCCCTGCTGGGGAACATCAGCAGCATTGCTTTCTTCAACTTCGCTGGCATCAGTGTCACCAAGGAGATCAGCGCCACCACTCGCATGGTCTTGGACAGCCTCCGGACGCTTGTCATCTGGGCTGTCAGCTTGGCCTTAGGTTGGGAGACCTTCCATGGCCTGGAGATCTTGGGTTTTGGGGTGCTGCTGGTGGGTGCTGCTCTTTACAATGGCCTGCACCGACCTCTGCTCACTCGCCTGCCCTGGGGGCACCTGGAGACCAGTGGGGGGCCTGAAGGGGAGGGTTTGCTGCATGGGGAGAGCACGGCCATCAACAGCGAGGGCTAAGCCCCGATATTAACTCCCTGGATGATCCTTCCTGCCCTCCTCGGGAGTGCTGGGAGTGACACTGGCCACCAAACTGCTGCGGTTTGCAGGAGAAACTTCTTCCTCCACCCACCCTCCCCTTCACCGTGGGGACTGCGGGAGGGGAGGGCAAGGCTGTGCCTGCCCTTCTGGGGATTATTTCCCCAGATGATCTCTTCTCCCCTCCTTCCTGATGAGAAGCTGGGAGGCAGCTGCTGGGGGGAGAATTGGAGCCTCTGCCCCTGTCCCCAAGGGGCTTAGTGGGGGTTATGGGGCTGGCCCCCCTGTTCCCTGACCTGCATCTCCCCCCCAATAAAGCACATTTGTTCTCAACTCACTCCCTGGGTGTCTGTGCTGGCTGGGGGGAGGGCCCTGGGGGAGACATGGTGGCCCAGTGGAGCGAGAAGACAATCTGGCCCCTGGGGACCCTGCTGTACCCAGCAGGAGGGTGAGGGCTGAGCCCCCTCTGCCTCCATCCTGGCTGGCTGTGCAGGACATGACCTCACTATCTCCAAGGGAAGGACCTGAATCCCTTTCACATGGGGATGGGAAAAGGCAATGAGCCCCAGCGTTCTTGGGGGTGCTCCTGCCCATCCAGGTTTAGTGAGGGGACAAGATCCTACCTCCCTCCTCCCCCTCCTCATTTCACTGTATCAAATTACCATCCCCAATGTTTATTTCCTTGGGGGGGGGGCACATCACAGAGAGGCACAGGAAAGCACAACCCAGGTGTTCAACTCTACCTTTATTTTTCTGGTTTTAGGAGAGCCACAGGGAGGCCCTGGCAGCAGTGGGGTGGGGTTACAGCAGCGTTTGACCCCGGACACAGCGCGGCAGGGGCGGTCTGGTGAAGCTGCAGCGCGGAGCATCGCCTGGCTACTCTCTGCTGGGAGAGGATGGGAGGGGGGTGAAGAGGATGGGAGGGGGGTGAGTGTGGTGTGACCCCCCCCCAGAGTTGTACTGTTTTGAGGGAAGGGGCCTGGACTCACATGGTGTTTTGCTTGTAGTGCTGAAGCGCCTGCTCAGCCACCATCTCCATGAACCGGGGGTCGTCCCAGGAGATGTCCCCAGGCACGGTGAGGGACAAGGGCTCCGAATCAAAGAGCTGCACAGTCACCTGCGTGTCGGGGGGTGCCGAGGGGTCCTCGAGGTTGGGAGCCTTGGAGAGGACCTGGAGAGGCGGGGGAAACAACACAGGGAGAGTTGGGCTAGCCCCCCACACTGGCCCCTCGCCCTGGCACTCGTCCCCGAGGCCAGTTATTGTGCCGAGAAGCTCCCGGCCAGGGACACAATTGCCTCTTTCTCCCCCTGACCCACTTTTGGTGGCTGCTGGCCCTGCTTGGAGGGGGTGGGGGGACTGCGGCGGAGAGGGGGGGACTGACCGTGGTGACCTGGAGGAAGCCGTCGGTGGTGCCTTGGGTGAGGTTTGCCAAGCGGGAGACCCACCCAAACTGCCGGTTGAGCTGGTCCAGGAGGCTGGTGGTGTTGAGCATCTCGGCTTGGAAGGCGCGGAGGAGATCGTCATAGCGGCGGCTGAAGCGCTCGGCCAAGCGCAAGGCGTCCTCCAGCTGCTCCCGCAGCTGGCTCTGGCCAGGGTCTGTCTGCCCGCAGTCTGGGGGGCATTTGAGGAGGGGGTCGGGGGGTATCAGGGTGCCAGGGCTCACCCCTGGCCCTGATGCATGTACTCCCTTGCACCCCACCATATCTCACCTCCTAAATGTGTCACTTCTGCACTCCCTGTTGAAGGTCTCAATCCATGTCCCCCCGCAGTCCCCTACCCACAGTCATCCATCCACAATCCCCCATCCATTGTCCTTATCTGGGGTCCCCTATCCACCATTCCTCATCCAAAGCCTCGGTCCCTCATCCATTATCCCCATCCACCATCCCCATCCATAATACCTCATCCACAGTCCCCTCATCCACCATCTCCTCATCCGTGATCCCCACCCCGGCCCAGCTCACCCACGGAGAGGATCTCCCGGCACTTCTCGCACTCATCCCGCAGCCGCAGGCAGCCGGCGGAGTTTCGCCGGATCTCCCGACACACCATCCGATCGTCGCTGAAGTTACGGGACTCTGCAGAGAGCCCAGCCCCGGCTTCAGCACCCCAAAACACTGCAGCACCCCACAGCCCCCCACCCTGAACAAAGCAACCCCCTGGGTTGCCGTTTAAGTGGTTTTTTTTCTGGGAATTTTGCCCTTCCCAGCTGTTGTAGCCAGAGCTGCAGTGGCAGACGGTGACGGCACCGGCATCCTGGCACTGCTCGCCCAAAACAAACACCTTCCCAGGACAACGGCTGTGGCAGCCAAGATGTAGAATGAGGGGGGGTGGAACCCAAAAAAAGACCCAACCCAGCAAACAGTAGTGCTTGTGATTCCTGGGCTCCCGCTGGGATTCTCTGATGTGTCGTAGTAAGGCTGAGCTCACCTTCTAAGTTAGTAACCCTCTAATAAGAAGGAGGGGGTGAAATTTTCGGGAAGCCTGGCCATAAACCTGTCACTTCAAAAAAATCTGGGAGCCCACAACACCCAGCCTGCAGTGAGCCAGGTGCTTTACCTGAGGCAAAGCCACCCAACGGGCGGTCCCAGCTGCCCTGCGACTCCTCCATCATCCGCTGTGTCATCTCAAAAAGTGGCTGGAAAAGGTGGTGGAAACCATGGTAGGGATGCTGGAAAAAGGGATGCAGCTCCCGGGAAAACCTCTCGCTGCGGATGGGGATGCGGACGTGCTGAATGGGAGGGCGGAAAGCCTCACGGAAACCACCAAAGGGTGCTCGGAAAAAGGGATGCAGGCGTCCATAGACTTGGGTGCTGTCCTGGAAGATGTCATCCACTTCATCCTCCAGCAATCCAAACTGTGCTTCCAAGTCCTCGAACTGCCGCTCCTGCCGCTGGTCCCGCTCCAGCAGCGAATCGATGCGCTCGCCGTTCACCCAGATGGAAAAGGGAGAGGAATGGTTGAGGAATTCCTCCAGCTGCCAGGCAGGGAAGCAGGAACAGGATGACATTTTTATAAGGGCATGTAGTGATAGCACAAGAATAATGGAATCCTAGATCACCCAGTTCCAACCCCCTGTCATGAGCAGGGACACCTCCCACCAGACCAGGTTGCTCCAAGCCCCATCCAACCTGCCCTTCAACACTGCCAGGGATGGGGCAGCCACAGCTGCTCTGGGCAACCTGGGCCAGGGTCTCACCGCCCTCACAGCAAAGAATTTCTTCCTAAAATCTCAATCTCCCCTCTTGCAGCTTGAAACTGTTCCCCCTCATCCCATCACTCCCTGTCCTTGTCAAAAGTCCCTCCCCAGCCTTCCTGTAGCCCCTTCAGGTCCTGGAAGGTGCTCTAAGGTCTCTCTGGAGCCTTCTCTTCTCCAGGCTCAACAACCCCAACTCTCCCAGCCTGCCTCTAGAACACAGGTGCTCCAGCCCTTGGATCACCTCCATGGCCTCTTCTAGACTCACTCCAACAGCTGTGTTGGGGACCACAGAACTGGACTCAGCACTGTAGGGTGGTGTCACCAAAGAGGAGCAGAAGGGGAGAATCTACCAAGGGATAACGGCCAAAAATGGGAAGAAGTCTCTTCCCACACAAACCCATCTGTGACTTCATTATTCCAATTGTCCTTTCTCCAGCCCCCCAGGGGTGTTGGGCACCACTCACCTGCCGTCCCACGAGTCCCGAGCCACTGCGGCAGGTGCGGGAGTAGAAGCGGACGCAGGAGCGCTTGAGGCAGGGCTTGCACTGCTCCCACAGGGCCAGCATCGTCTCGTTGCACACCTCCTGCTGCTCTGCCAGCTCCTGTTCCTTCTCCCGGACCAGCTGCACTGCTTCCTGGGTGGTAGAGTTAGGTTATGGTTGGACCTGAGGATCTTAAAAGTCTGTCATTCTGTGAACACGTACCCAGCTCCCAGGGAATCAGCATCCTGGGCCCTTTGGGATGCACTTCGGGGGGTGGGATCCCCCTCCTCATCCTCCCTCACCTCTTTCCTTCTCTTTGTCTCCTCCAGTGTCTGCAGGATGGCCTGATGGTCCTTGCTGGTCTTGTCCATCAGGGTCTTCATCTGCTTCACCCCATTGATGGCATTTTCAACCTCAGTGTCTATGTATTTGCTGCCAGCTGCCGACATTTCTGGGAGGGGGGGCAGGGGGGGCAGGGAGAGCATGAAGGATGGCTGCTCCTTCATCCAGCCCCTCCCCAGGATGATGATGTGCCCCCCC